TATAATACAAAACTTTGACATTTCGCTGGTCCACAATATGAATACTTCCAGCAATGATTCACCACCACACACAAAAGTAGGCTGTGCTGGTAAATACTTCCGTACCCGGTGAATGCAACAATGTTGCTGGTGGAGTATTTTTCAATTATTATTTGTAAATAATAAAATATCAACAGTGAGTGCAACAGAAAAATTGACGACAATATGATTTTATACATGTCGAAAACAGCACAATGCCTTCGGTAAACATACAAGTATGGGAATCAAAATTTGCATACATACATATATGTATATAGTAAACACGTGTGTGCATATGTTTGTGTTTATGCTCAGTGTAAACAAAGTTACGTATAAAATTGGCAACAAGTTAAATTTTCACAATACTGCCAATGTCAGTTGCTGTTGATCAATGGCCAATGGCGGCGGTGTATTGTTGTAAAGCAACAATAATTGGCAAACGGGCCATGCTGATGTCAAAAGTGATTCGTGCGTTAAATTAAAATAAATAAAATATTTTCAATTTACTGACTATTCCACGAGAATGCCGTTACAAATGGAGTCTACCACATTTTCAAGCAASAAATGGTGAATATCACATATCGAATTTAAATTCGAACTCAGGCTGCTGTGGCCACTATTTTTCTTAGCTAAGCAACTTAAAAAATATATATTGGGTAGACAAAAAAGTTTTTTCCTATTTTGTCAATAGATGTCGTTGCACTCGTATATCTCCAGTGCTGCCAATCATGTCATAYCATATTGTGTTGGAAAGGTTTAAGTTTCATTTAAAAAAAAAACCCAAAAATGCAGGGAAGGTGAAAAAAGTTACAGATGTTCAAAAATGAGTGAAAATAATGAAGAAATTCCCTATATTTTGAAAATGTTGTATAAAAAAGGTAAGAATGCCACGCAATGAAATTTGGGAAGTTTACGGAGACGATGCTGTTTCAGTTCGTGTAGATTTGTGAAAGATGCACCTCGCTCTGGTCGACATATCGTTGAAAAAGTCGATGAAATTATGGAAAGGATTGACGTGGCATCGCTAAGGAACCTGTCTCTTATACACATCTAGATGTGTATAAGAGACAGAATCAGCGTCATATTGGGTTCTTCGGCTAGCGCTTATGATCCAAATCATAGCACTAAAAGCAAGCGGTCCAGGAAACTCAAGTTCATGCTTCTACGTCGATATATCAAATAGAACTATATTTATAATAAAAAAGAATTGTTCGAAAGAAAATAACTTTTATATTTCCCTAGATATCGGTGTGTCGCAATTGATGAAGCCAGGTCCTTCTCCACTTGGTCCTTCCAACGGAGTGGAGGTCTTCCTCTTCGCGTAGCCGCTGTCTTTTAATTCGCTGAACTATGTCAATGTCGTCGTATATCTCGTACAGCTCATCGTTCCATCGAATGCGATATTCGCCGTGGCTAACGCGCAAAGGACCATAAATCTTTCGCAGAACTTTTCTCTCGAAAACTCGCAACGTCCACTCATCGGTTGTTGTCATCGTTCAAGCCTCTGCACCATATAGCAGGACGGGAATTATGAGTGACTTATAGAGTTTGGTTTTTGTTTGTCGAGAGAGGACTTTGCTTCTCAATTGCCTACTCAGTATGAAGTAGCACCTGTTGGCAAGAGTTATCCTGCGTTGGATTTCTAGGCTGACATTATTGGTGGTGTTTACGCTGGTTCCAAAATAGACGAAATTATTTACAACTTCAAAGCTATGACTGTCAACAGTGACGTGAGTGACAAGTCGCGAGTGCGACGACTGTTTGTTTGATGACAGGAGATATTTCGTCTTGCCCTCGTTCACTGCCACACCCATTTGTCTGTCTCTTATACACATCTAGATGTGTATAAGAGACAGGTACTCATCGTCCTCAGCGAATATATCGCCTTCTTCTACTTTGCCCAAATCATCTATAAATATGACTAGCATCGAAAAAATAAAAAATAAATTTAATTTAATATACAAATATTATTTGCTAACAACAAAATATCCAACAAAATTACATACATACAAAAAATGTTTACAATTATTAACTACTTCACAGTTACAAAATAGAGAGAGTGCAATAAGTACAGTGAGCACACAACATATAATACGTAAGTACACAACATATAATACGTAAGTATACAGTGAACTTCGGTTGTATGTGTAGCGTGTGTGTACAAGTATATTTATGTGAGGCGGTGCAGATTCTACACATAGACATGGATCAAATGCTAAAGTTGTTTACTTGCACTATCAGGTCGCTGCTGTGGGAGTGGTAATTTTAAGTCACGATGTGGCGGATAATTTATATTCGCGGGCAGGTGTGGTTGATAGACGATCGAGGGGAGACTAAAAGCAAACGGAATAAAAACAGTTTTGTAACAAAAAAATGCAAAACAATGTATCATCAAAAATATCGAAATTAAATTTTTGTTTGCTTACGATTCACTACATCGTAAAAAATGTAGTATAAAATTTTCAGCTTCCGCTGTCCGATATAACCTATATATTATACATCCAATATATAAGCAATATATATACAAAATATAACCAATATATAAGGAATATATATCCAAAATATAACCAACATATAACCAATAAATAAGCATTTAATAACCAAAACTCATTTATTTTTCAATATGAGTGGTTTCTATTACATCGGTTTTCTTTCTGCTCTAAACTTACATATGAAAAGTGATGTTACATTGTTTTGTTTKTTAGGTGACGATATATAAGTTTATGCACGCGCTCTCTTTACAATATATTTTTTTTTTTCATTGAATGAATATTTATGACCCTCACCTTGTTCTATTGGCGCTTTTTGCCTCCTTCACAGCTGCCGTAATGTTTTCATTCTCTCTTTTGTTGATCGTSTCTGTATTCACAGCTTCGAGTGCGGGCAACAAATTTGACTGCTCTTCGTTATCATTTTCTTTTCGYCTGCGATCCTCCATATACTGTCTGATCAGTAGATCCAGTTTATCATCAATATCGGTCACCTGGTGGTATGAGTTAATTAAAGTTAAATTATTATAGAAATAATCTAATAATTGAAGGGGGAGAAAAAGGCAGATTTGAAAGCATAGATTTACTTGTCGCTCCATTTTGACCACTCTGGAAGCTAAGCAGATTTTCGATGCATCCTTGATTTTTGGCGCACGCTTGCCGCCCAATATTAGATCCAATCTAGGTGAAGGTATTAAAATAATAAATTCTAATGTTTATTAAAAACTTAAGAAATAGAAAGCAAAAGATAAATAAAATCTTTCATAATTTTTTTTTTTTCAGAAATATGTCATTAAATTCTATGCTTGTTTTCGTCTATCTAAGCAATTATTTTGTATTCTCGTCGAAGATTTTTTCGCGTAAAATTACAGACCTTGTTAAAACGTCCTACAGTCCTTAGATCGCGGTGAAAACCTCAATTAAACKCTATTATAATCTAAGACTTTCAGTCAGTTTTATTTTTACCTCGCGTGTATATTTTTTACTCGCATCAACAGGTCCGCGTGACCAGCCGCATACTGTTCCAGTACATCTTTCACATCGTAGGGTTTCAAGGCTTCTTTGAATTTTCGACGGGCAACCATAAACTTAAGCTATGTGGTGAAAATTAAAATAAAAAAATAAAAAACAGAATTGTAGTATTGAAAAAATATATTTGAAACAATAATTAAAAAATATATTTTAATCAAAAAATTTTGAAGAAATATATATACATATATGCAATATATAAGTTGAAATATGAAAGGACTTTTTCGACTACCTAATATTGGATATTGCGGGTCGATACCTATTTTTTTCTATAAAATCGCATATGCGGGAAACGTTCTACGGACCATTCTGAACATCTTTAACTGAGAGACTATGGGTCTTAAAGCGGTTTCAAAGATCTAAAGCCATTACTAAGGCGAAATTTAAAAATCTGAGTAATTGGTTATGTGGGAGATATGTGATATAGTTTTCCAATCTGACCGATGTCAACAGATGGTCAATAGCATATCAAAATGCACCTATGTATTAAATTTMATTCGGATATCTCAGAAACTGACGAACAAATGAAAATCGCARGTTCGAAATTGTATTTAGACGCATGACTCTTAGGCAAATTTTTTTTAGAATGATCCGTACAATATTTCTCGCATACGTAATTTTTAGGTTTTTTTTTTTTGGCTTCTTGTAAATCGACCCGCTCTAATATAATATACATATATGTATATAGAATGTATTTTTACGAAATGAAAATAAAAAATATATAGTGAAAATATTAAAAAATGTTGAAAGTATATGCTTTATAAACTTTTATGAAAAAAAATCTGCGGTTGTATGTTATATGGAGTCATATTATATAGTTACCATTCTTATAAATCTGATAGCGATTTTGTGTTTCTTCATTAACGTATTGCACTTTGGTGTATATTCTTCATCTACAAGAAAATATTATACAAAAAATAAATCTAATAATAAATTAAAATAAATTAAAACCAACCTTGACTTTCGACAGACTTGTCATTGAAGACCGAAAGATAGCGACCCGACTTCGCTGACTCAATATGTACAATATCGACAGGCGAATGTATGGTTTGGCTACGKCGGCGGCGACTAGGCAAACGTCGCAAGGGGCTTTGAACTTTGAAACTAAATAATTGAAAAATACATAAGCAAMGCTTAGCTGATGCTAACAAACATAAAGAAKCCAATATTCCTAAACTGTACTCACGAGCTAGTGGGACTTGGCATTTGTATAGGTATTTCGTGTATTTTCCATGTGGCTACGGCAGTAGAATTCTCATCTGCTGCATAATAACGCCAAATAGACTGTATTAATGTGGCCGCGGGCTGATAGCGACTTATCATATGCTTTTGACGCTGTTGTTGTTGGACTTTCAAGGCGAAACCGCTGCCCAAAATGCCCTGTGAATATTGTTATAGATTAAAAAACAAAGTAGTGATCTCCAGAAAGAAATAGAAATAGGAAATGAAGTAAATTCCTCGAGGAACTCACCGCCGGTAGTGCAAAGAACGAATAGCTCAACAAAGTAACAATCGAACCGATGACTTTACCCTGCCAGGTTATGGGCACTGAGTCGCCATATCCGATAGTGCACATTGTTATCTGCAAGAAAAGTATAYAGACGCTGGCTTAAACTTCGGTACAGTACTGGATATATGAYATATTACTTACAACACCCCACCATAAAGCTTTCGCAAAATTGCTGAATTGCTCATTGACATCACGTTCAACCAAATAGACTAGGAAGGAAGAGAAAGTGAGACCCAGAAAACCGATGTAGACAGATGTGAGTAGTTCCTGAAAAATAAAAAAGAGTATACAAAAGCYTGAGATCTCATTTTAAGCTTTCAGAGCTTTAATCCTTCACAGCTCCGTTTACCTGTCTATGTGCGTAGACAACACTCCCTAAAAGTTTCCAACTACCACCACGTCGATCCATGCGCAACATGCGCAAGATCTGAAAGAACCTCAGCGCACGCAAAGTGCTGGTCGCAAACACACGACGTGGTGCGCCCTGCGCCAAAGCAATTATCGAGGCGGCGATGGTAATGAGGTCTGAAAAAATATATTTAAAATTAAAACAAAAAACAGCAAAYYCGTATAACCAAAGCTAAAACCGACCTATGATGCAAAATGTGCCAGTCATGAACTTAAAGCGTCCCAGAAGACCCTGATAACGTGAGCGTACACCTGCCGCCCATAACCTGCAATAAAGTTGGAAAATTCGTAAATGCAAACTGCAGACTRCTACACAGTCTTCAGTCTCCTCCATAGAGRAGACTTTTACTCGGAGGACAATTACCTACCGCACAACAAATTCAATCGTGAGCCAAAATACCACCAATACCTCCAGACGATATAAGGAAAATGATGCCTCTTTTTCATATTCGTTGATAGTGGCGAAAATACTCAAGGCTAAACAGGTGAAGATCAAAATAAATCTGCGAAGTAGGCACGAGTGATAAGCGTCGTGAACATATCATCAAATATTGGGCAGAAAAAATCATCCACTTACACCATTATGTGATAGGAGATTGCGATAAGTCCGCGTGGACGCTCCAGAAAATTATAAATACGACCTTGTATGATCCGGTAACGTGCATCACGTCGATGTGTACCGCGTGTGTAGGTAATAGATTTACCCAGCAGCGACATTCGAGGGATTACAAGGCGCTTCGTTGTGGGCCGATATTTTCTCTTACATAATCTGTTGAGATATTAAAAGGAAAAAGGATTATTTTCAATTAGGTTTTTTACTTGAAGAAAGCTCAGTCGGAAACTAGTATTCAAAGGAGGAACAGAACTAGACATCCGACTTTTCAAACGTAACTTTCTTTTGATTTCAGAATAGTATTTTATTTATATCTGTACTTAAAAGAACATTTATAAGAGTTCAAGCATAAGAGAGTTAATTATCCGGTTGAGGAATAGGTTGTATTTTTTTCTTAAGGTTTTACATGGGTTTACGGATTTCAAAACCTCGAATATTTTTATTGTCTTATTAAATTGTACAACACGTCCAGAATATTGTCCTAAACTTTCAAGTTGAWCCGATTAATATTTTCGGAGATACAGCCTTGACAACTTGTGCACTCGAGGCTATCTAGGCTAAGTGCGAGTTCTTTAAACGCGTTTTTCTTGAAACCGTGTTTTTGAAGTCGAAGTACTTGACCGATCTTCATGAAATTTTACACAAATCTTTGAGATACAATTATTAAAGGCTTGGACAAATGATTATTTTTTCGACTAAAACTATTTGAAATAAAATGCCGGGAAAGTTTTAATTATTGTTTTTTTTTTTTTGTAAATTTCTGCCAAAATCCAATTTTTCAGTTTTTTTCCTTCGTCCAAGTTTTAAGTTAAGGTTTAAAAAACACTTATATCTTCCACTTTAGATTATCCGGTTAAGAGTTATCCTGCCAACGTGGGCGCATCTTTTTTCCGAGGAGTTTAAAATATTMTTTTCCAAAAATTTCAGTATTTTTTTTAATAGTGTATGTTTGTAACAATTAAAAAGTCGAATAAAATGAATGTATATTTCTAATTAAAAATATCTGTTTCTTTAATAATAAAATATTTAATTTTTTATTTGAGAAAAAAACCTATATTTTACCCGAGGAAACCCATGTAACCCCTTAAGAGAACTTTGATAAGATAAGTGGAATCGAAGCACAAGAGAGTTAAATGTCCTGTTGAGAGATAGATTACTTTACTCTCTTAAGTTTTTTGTAAGGTGTTCAGGATATTTTATCTGCTTGGTCTACATGTACATATATCATAAGCATGATCAAATCAAAACCAGCCTAATATCTTAATAAGAAAATGTTCTTGAACGGCAAAAAACACCGAGATATGGTATAAGATCGTTTTAGCGTCCTTGCTTATTTTATATTATCGACGAAATATCTTACGTATGCACTACACTTTTCTTTCAGATCATCATGTTTAAGTCTGAGAAGTGTTTCTAGTGACGTAGACACGACATTTACAAAGGTTTTATTAAAGAAAGGTCCTGCAAAACTTGCCCCAATTTAAAGTCCTTGTTATAAATATTGAACGCTTCATTATGTTCATCCATATAGTCAGCCATTTCTGTTAACTTTTTTTATATTCTTAAGAATTAAATGTTGTTGCTGGTTTTAGAAATTAAACTCCAAATTCTTTTAAGTTCATTTATCAATTAGCCATGAAAGTTTTGCGCCTCTTCAGCTCCTTCCAAGCCGCAATCCGAACTCTTCCTTTAACAAATTTCACTTTCACACACTGCAATATCCGTTATTTCTACTTTGAAACTATAAACATTCTGAAACTTCTTTCTCTTCACTGTCTGCAGTCTTTAAAGTTCAATGGTAAAATGAACTTATTGAAGGTAACTGTGACAGTTAACCCAACACCTAGCCTATAGTTTTTTTTTTTTGCATTCACACACCTTACAATTTAACCATCATAATATGATATTGATATGACTACTTAACGCTATACAGTTTTTATGACCCCACCAAACCCGTTCAGAGCCCGTCAAAACAGATAATTTCCACAAATTTACCCAGATCACTGAATATGACATTAAAATGTTAAATAAATTTGAAAATAAGTAAGCAACAGTAAGCATTTTGTTATATTGAATTTTTATCTATTTCATACAGACAATTTTATTTCACTTTTTTATTGTTTTTATAGCAAAAAAAAAGAGGCGAGTACTTTATTTGCAAAAAAGGTAGGGTGGCGACGYTTGGTAATTTGAAAAAATTCCATCTTTGACATTTTAAATACATTTATAAATTTCTCTGCTCATCTGCTTGCATTTTTTGTTATAGTTTATGCGTGGTTTTGTTGTTGTGTTTAATAATATACACTTTAATATACATATTTTTTCCTTCATTATTCGGTCAAGCAGATAGCGAGCTGTCAACGCTTTCGTATGTAACGGTAAAGGTTTTAATCAATGCAAATAATTTTGTAATCATTTTATGACAGCGATGATACAACTTTTTGAAAACTTAAACTGAAATTTTAATCGCTCCGCGACAGTGATGTGTGCTCGGTTTRTATACAATACTCTCAATCGTGTGCATGTCTATAGGTAGCTACAAAATAGGCTTTGATTGACAACTTTGAATAAAAAAAACTGCTTTATGCTAATGTTTGGACTTCATTGATGTGCTAAATCAGTTTAAAATTTAAGAAGGAAACTAAAAATAGTTAAATGCACGAGACTTAAAAGCGTCGCAGAACGAGTTTAGCAGCGTTAGTATACGGAGAAGGAGTTTGGAACACTGTACTAAAACCTTTATAGTACTAACTGAGGACATGAGGGTGGAAACCGCAATCTCTTGACTTGCTTGCTGAATCAATAATGATGTAATAAATCATTGATTGAACAGAGAGACCGATACGAAATCCAACCACACWTTTACGTCCGTAATTCCAAGCAACTTTAAATTGGAAATTAGTTTTTCTAAAAAAAAAATTTACTATTCTTAACAAACCACAAAGATATTGGACTTTATATTTTACCTTYGGAGTTTGGGCAGTGATAGTTGGGAAATCTCTTAGAATCTTAGACGGAACAGAGTTAGGACACCCTAGAGCCCTAATCGGTGACAACCAAAATGAGGATAGTCCATTTTTGTAAAGTATTCAGAACTTTTTTGGCTGCTTGTCGTCTTATATAATCTAATTTGACACGAATGCTCTTGCTTTCAATATAGTATATTCGTAGGTTCCACGCTTTATTGACTAATTTGTTGTGAGATATGAAATATATTATTTTTCGGCTGATTTAAAACTTTTTTATGGTTAATGCTGTTGTMAAACCAACCAATTTTGAGGAGCATCCTGTATAGTTTTACGGACTTTTCAACGTCTTTTATAAATTAAAATCTTTTGCAGAAATCGACTGAATAATCCAACACGCAGTGAAGAAATTATAGCAGCCGTAGCTGAGAGTGTACACAACGATCKTAGAGAGTCGATTCGGCGGCGTTCGCAGCAACTCGGACTGACCAAATTTTGTTCAGCGATGAGGCCAGTTRCTGCCTCAATCAGTATGAAAACAAGCAAAATTGCAATGTTGGGAAAAAAGGAGAAACCTGAAAAGATACAAGAACTGCTATTTTACCCAGGAAAACAACAGTTTGGTGTGGTTTGTGGGCCGGTGGTAACATCGGTACAAATCGCTTCGAAAATGATGCCGGTGAGAACGTAACGTAATTGCGACTGATATCGCCCCATGATAATGGACTATTTGATGCCTGAAATTGGAGTTCGTGATCTTGGTGACATTTGGACTCAACAAGACGGCACCACTTCCCACACATCGCATCAATCAATAGATTTATGGAAAGAACACTACAGTGAGCAGATAATTTCGCGTTTTGGGCCAGTCGATTGGCAACCAAGATCGTGTGATATCACGAAAGTCTAAAGTTCACGCTGACAATCCCCCATCATTTCAGGCCTTGGAGCAAAACATCAGCCGTGTCATTCGTTAGTTACCATTCGAAATRCTCGAACGWATCATCGAAAATTGTACTCWTCGGAAATTCGAAAAAAGATAATCTTCAAAAAACTYATGRGGGCYGTTGTAATGACAAATCTTAAAATTAACAAAATATTTTTACCTTAAAAAATTCAATATTATTTAATAATATATAGTAAAATTACTAAGTTTTGTGTTTTTCCATTTCACTGTAAAATTTTGCAATTTTGCAAAAAGTGCTCTATTTTGCATTGAGAGGAATTGATTTAATTAAAAAAATATATTAAGGAGCAGTCTTTAAGTAGATTAAGCTATTTTGAGAATTTTTTATTTGCGAAAAACTTAKTCAATTTCCACTATTAATAAATGTAAATTAATATTTAGAATAAAAACAGAAACAATAAAAAATTGTTGTCAGAAGTGGGATTCGAACCCACGCCCTCAGAGAGGACCAGAAAGCTCCATATGAAACCCACTAYTTTAGTAGTGAGTAAGTTTGCACTTGAGTCTGGCGCCTTAGACCGCTCGGCCATCCTGACACATAATGAAAATTTGTCAAAGTGGGCACTTATGCTCAACGTAAATGATTCTTGTGGTAAAGTACTCATTGTTTTCTCATTATTATTCCTTGCACCACATTTAATAGCGCATAATTGTAGCTGCTGAAATATGACTCATAAATGTTCRCTAATATTTGCGGCTAATAATACTCATAATTAAAATTGGCATGTGCTCTAATAAAAATAACTTAATTTAATTAAAACGGTGTGTAATTAAGTAATTTTAGAAAAAAAGGAAATATAGAAATTAAATTGTTTAGTATGTTTACATGTGTACATAAAGGAATATTTTTTTAGTTATAATAATTTTTTTTCAAATATTTTTGTTACTTTTTTCTTTATAATTTATATCTTTAAATCAAACATTAGAGAAACTACTTATTATACTATATAAAACTGATTATTGCTTTGCTACAAAATAATTTAAAAAAATATTTCTATGTACAGACATTCGAAAATTAATAAATTATTTCCAGATACCATAAATTAAGTGACTAATAGATTTAGATCCAAATTATTTTCGTTTACACCCATCTTATACGACTCGAAGTAAGGCCATAAATCCTGCAGCCAAACACATTGCCCCTGCCACACAATGGGTTAATGGCAAGATGCRTACATAGCTATATATACTACATACATACATATACATATATAATATATGTACATATGGATACGTCTGTTCGCAAATATTATTTCACGAGCGAATTTTCCAACACAAAGAAATTTGAATTTAGAAAAAATCCAAGTATTTATATATTATATTAAATAAAATTAAATTGTCACTCTTATACAATCGGTCGGGTATGGATTTGCGGCAGCCGTCGCTCTCAGCGACTAGCGATTTGACTTGTGTGTTCGTCGTATTGTTTTGTGTGTGTGTACGTGAGTTTATATGGAGCCTATATGAGGGTGTATGGAGCGCAGACGTATGGCGTGCAAACGGTCCGGAGGCAGCTGATTATGGCGTTTKCTTGGGGGTATAAAAAGTGCGACGGAAATGCTTTCAACGCATTACTCGACAAATTAAATAAATACATAGGTGAACAAGTATCGAAAATAATAATAAAAGCAAAATCTGCAAACAAAAACTGTTAATAAAAGTACTTAAAAGTAAATAAAAGTAGGATTTATTCATTTAAGAGTATAAGAAGGCAGCGACAGGCGACGAGTGTTTGCTCAATCGTTTTGAAATAGGAATTATACAATGAGTTAAAAAATTAAAATATACGGTTTTTTTT